GGGGACTGTCTCTTCAGACTTGGTCTCTTAGGATCATCCACAGGTACCTATACTGTAGATAGGTCTTAGTCATCAGGTCTACTCCACTTCCTTGTTGCCTGCTTAGACTCTTGGCACTCTTAGGTGAGCAGACTTAGTCAGCCTGTGTTGCCCTAACAACAGCCATCAAGATCTATGTGTGGCAACACATTTCGGAGCAAGATGTTGTGTGTGCACACACCCTCTACTGACAATTTTTTGTCAAGTTTGTGGAGGTAAGCCTGCACAGTTCATCATCCTATTCCTCTGCCATGGGGAATCACATGATCATATTTCAGTAACCCACTGATGTTTCCCCTTTGCTCCCTTATTGAGACCAGGTTCACTGGGGAACCACATGATCACATTGCACCTATTATCTACCCTTGTCCCCATCCCTCATATGCTTCCTTTCCCTGGCCCATGAGCTGATCTGACACTGTAGATCTACAGCCCTTTGTCAGTCACCCCAACTTATCATTGGATTTCACACATGCCTGAGCAGATATGCTGGTATGGCCCTGTCCATGGATTTTGGACATTTATCTTTGAGCGACTCAACAAGCTACTGAAGAGTTTCAACACCAACAATCATCAAGGCAGTCAGATGGAGGTGACATTTGCCTGAGAGTTCAAATGGTACATCTCCCTTGTACAGATGGTATGTCAAATCTGCTGATGACATCAGGATCCTGACTGTCAAATAGGCCCTCATACTTCGGGATGTGGAGGAAGATCCCCTAGCCCAACTGGCAGGAAATATCATGTTTGCAGGGGTGTGCAATCACAGTCAGACTGGGGCATTGGCAGCACTGGCCAAGTTACAGGAGGGCCCCCAGAATTTAGTTTCTTGTAGGTCCACCCTTTGTGTGGATGATATCTTACCTATTGAATGTCTGCACAGATCACAATCAATGCAGCCCTGCTGGGATAGGATTAAATTCTACCCTAGATGAGCAAGCATATACACATTTGCTGAAGTGGTTCAGAAGCCACCCAATCTGACAAAGTGATGACCTGACTGGGCAGTTACAAATCTGTCACAAACATTTGCGTAACTCACCAGCAGGATTCAAATATCTCACCTGCCAAGTCCATGCACATGGAGCCCTGCTCTGGGAGGGGCACAAGATACATGCAGTGGAGAAGAACCATCCACAAAAAAGCAATGCACTCATCCTGCATCACATCTGACCTGGCCACTCATGGGTAGGAGAACTTTGCCAAGTGTTTGTGCATGGTCAAAATGGGGAGGAGGTCACCTGAACATTTGTGGAGGTAGCATGGCTGGTGCCGAAACAGCTGTGCAAGCTGTCAAGCATCTATAAGCCTTAGTAAGTGCTGGTGTTCCTTTGCTGGGGAACTACATGATCACATTTCACAAATTGACTATCTCTTTGTTGGACTCCTCCCTGGCCTGCCTCTCCCATGTTCTCGTATATCTGAAATGCAATCAAGTCCTGAGCTCAAGGTAGGTTGTTGGGTACCAGACTCATATCTGGAAGGAGATGAGCAGCATGGATCACTGCCCATCATGGAAGCACATGAGCTGTCTGGAGTGGCAGCTCATGCTACAGTCACCACTGATTCAGGTAGGATCTGGGTGACAATGGGTCTTAACAAAGTGAGTTTACCCTACTCCTAGGGTGCTTGGCACCCACTCAAGCACATTTCACCTATTTGTTCTTAAATTGATGCTAACCATCCCATTCTACAGGTTGGGCCAGACTGGTAGGGGCATCTGGCACAAATGCCTTATGAGAAATGTCTATAAGTGATGAGACAAGTAGAGCAGAGAGCCAATCAGCCAATAATATTGTGTTTCCTTTCAAGTGAGCATCCTGCTTCTGATAGTTGATCTGTCCTAAAATTGGCTTTGTACTACTTTATCAATGTTTGTCAACTGTTTGGTAGCAGTCTGGATGAATCCAAGGCCCATTCAGCTGTTGAAGTTCACATACTATCTCAGTGGTGATTGATGGTGGTACTGCATCTACAAATGTGAAGCACAGGTGGTTTGCCATCTCTTCCTCCTTCCATGTTAGATTGACCATGAACAGGAAGGGTGGGAAGTCAGGATGAGGAAGAAGATCAGAAGTGTTCCCCCTATCAATATGAGGTGTGGGGGGTTTCTTCTTGCCCCTTTGGGAGGCTGCTGCTTCCAGCTCACCCAGTTCTTTCCAGCACACCAGCAAGGAGAGGAACAAGAAGAACTACATGCTGTGTTAATGGCTGGTATGGGGAATGAATCAGACATACTTACTGGCAGAGACATCCAAGTTGGGCATAATATCTCCCATGCAGATGTGTGGTCTTTCTTTTGAACCCTGCTCAAATCATCTGACTGACACATCTGCTGCCACCAGATGTGCTGGGTGTCTGGATCACACTCATCTTCCCAGGACCTCTCTTCCAGCATTCAGGATTTGTGGAGGAGGTCAGAGACAAACTGATCAACATCCTTGATCCCCTTCTCTTTTGCCAGGAGAATGGCACCCTTAACACACCAGTTGTAGCACTATTCATGAGGTGAGTGGATCTGCCAAGTGGAGACAGATGATTTGCTCACTGTGTTGCACCTTTCAGACAGTCTTCCTTCAAGTGCCCATCTGTCCTGCTGAGCTCTCTTGTATATGTCATTCTCACCCTCAAATTGTTTCTTCATTTGGCCCCAGTGGACATGGAAAATATCCCTGAGATTTGTGTATGACAGCCAAGCCTCTTTGCCCTCTTCAACCAGAGGTGTTGCAGACTGACATCAGTGAGCTTGATGAAATGTGATCATGTGATTCCCTGACACCTGACAAACCTTGTGCATATTTTGGACCAACTTAATGGTCAGGTCCATAATGGCAAAGTTCTCCTCAGCCTTCCATTCCTTACTCTAATCAGGTACCAGGACAGGCTCTGCACCCAGTTCCGCTTGAGGTTTGTACTTCTCCTTACCCAGCATCTTCCCTTCTGCTATGCTCTTGTCAAAGCCAATAATGTTGTGGACTGTGCTGACAAGCTTCTTCTGTTTATGCAGTGAGCACAAAGACTACTGCTGCCTGATGAGCTCAAACCTGAAGCCTTTGCCATATCTCCTTGTTGACTTTGTCAAGCACACTCTTCCTTTTTTTGGCCACACATTGGGCACTGTCTTGGATGGAATGGGGGTCATTGGAGGAAAGGTCACCAAAGCAGGTGTGCCATTTACAAGGTTTGAGATAACCCACACCATCATAACCTTCCTGCAGCTCAGCAAGGCTTTTTTGAGTGGATTTGAGATCCCTGGTGACATGGTCGAGGCAGTCTTCTAGCCCATGGTGATCAGCTTTGAGGCTAGTCATGTCTGCAACCACCACCAAAAGACTGTTTTGGTTTGCTGGTGGTCAAAGAGCTGGATTGATGGACCTTGTGTTAACATTTAGGTGAAATGTGATTGTGTGGTTCCTCAGGCAAATGAATTACTCACTCTTCCTCCAGTACTAGTTCCCCTTCAAGTTGATGAATCATACTGAAGAAGGCGGCATGCACGGTGGGCATCATGTCATTGACAGCCTTCTTGAGAGCTTTAGCAGCATTGCTGGAAGGCATGAGGTGGTTGAATGAGCACAAAGACATGCCTAGACAGAGAGTGAAAAAGTTTTGTTTTTGCTTTTTGTGGGTGCCTCCATACCAGAAATGTGATGGTAGAATAGAGTGGAATATTAATATTAGTAAGGATTATTTGATGCAAAGAAGAGGCACAGCCCAAAAGAAGCACTGGTGGAAGTCCTGGAAGAGGTTATCTGTCATATCCCTGCTAATATTAATATGTGTATAATCTGCTGATATTATTGAGACTGGCTAGACTAAACAACACTGAGGGAGAAAAGAGCAGGGTATAAGCTATATGCCAAGATAACAGGGGGGTATAAAGACAACCTGAGCCTGTCTGGCTGATCCTACAACCAGATGCCCTGAAAGCCCTGCCCAAACCTCAGCATCAGGCTGTGCAGAATGCAGTGAGTATGGTGGACATATGTGGACTGCTTGTTAGGGGTCCACCATGTGGCTGCATGTTGGTGATAAGCATCACTATGGGCATGACCATGGGAAAAGGGCAGGGTCCAGATGCTGTGCATTCTCCCTCCAGGCAAGTTGCTCCTGCTGGTCAAACAACCAGCAAAGAACAACTTGTGGTTGTTGTTTGCTACCACTAGTACTCTCACTGCTCAACTTGATCCACCCAGCTCACTATGGCCCCTCATTTACCTGTTTTGCCAGACCACCCCCTCAGAGCCCAGCAATGTCAACGCCTCACCTCCTAGCAACTGGCAACCCTCCTCCTCCCCCTCCCTCCCCCTCCCTCCCCCTCACTCCCCCAGCCTCCCAGTACTTGCTAGGCCAGCAGATGCAGCCTCAGCCCAACACCCCTGAGCCAGAGGAATCAATGCTGGATGCAGAAGAGGTCGAAGAAGAACAGGCATCCAAAGCTGGAGTGGTCCAGCTTTGGATGCATGCATGGTACTTCTGGGACAACCAGCTGAACCTGTGCTTTCACTGGTGTGTCCTGAGGCTCATTGCCAAGCGTGATGCCTGTGGAACCCCAATCTCCTGGCTCTGTATGTCCCTCTCCCTTCCCTCTCATCCCAGCTGCCTATCTGATGCCTCCCCAGATTGTTGCTGGTACAGCAAGTTCAAAGACTGCCAGTATGAAGGCATGTCATGCTGGTATTCCAGCACACCTGTCTCACTCTCCTGACAGAGATGCTGGACCAGCAAATCAAACATCGCTGGCAGTGGATCCCCCTGGCCATCCCCATCTGCACACTCCAGTATTCTGCTGGAGAATTCCCTGGCTACATTCTCCCAGACTCAGCAGTTGAGAGCATGGCACACATGCATCCTCTGGTGCACACTGCTGCCCTGGGCTTGCCTGGCAAGCCAGGCCAGGAAGGAGATGCATGGCTCCTGGAAGATGACAACAATCTGGAGATCCAGGATGTGGTGAACAAGGTGTGTCCTCAAATGCTCACTCACCTTACTCTGTTGCTCATGACCATCCAGGATTGGGAACAGGAGACAACAGCATTGATCAAGTATTTCCACATGCCTGCTGGCATGCAGTATGCTGGCCCCTACATGTGCAAAATACTGGAGGAATGCCAGTTCCTTGCTGATGATGTCAGCAAGTGCCTACTTGCATTGATTGGTCCCCTTGTGCATCTTTCCCTCCCCCAGCTGTTGCTGGTCACTGACCAGCAACTAGGGCCAATGTCCTCCTGGCATTGTAGACTGGCCATGGTCCAGCAACAACAACTGGAAAGAACATATGGACAAGACAATGAATTTTTTCAGTGTCAGCAGCAAGGAACCCTATTTCAAACAGGCAGAAATAACCAAACAGTTCTTTGTGTATGAACTGCTGGCCCTATATCTGCTCCAGCAATGGCATGCTCACCTCAACACCCCTTGGCAGAAGTGCAAGAATCTTGTCAACAAATGCATCAACCAGACAGCATCATTTGTGGATGCAACAGACATGGAGCTGGGCCAGATTGAAACATGCTAGTGCAATGTGCTGGCGCATACCATGACACAAGTCCTCCCCAACCAGTCCAGCCATGACTGGGCTCATGCAGAAAGGGAGGCCAACCAGTGAGCTGGTCCAGTGTCATCACACCATAGGACAGAGCCACCAGTGGGTCCTTCCTGGGCCACTGTCTCAGAACATGTTGTGGATGGGACTCTCAAATAGGCTGGACTCCCATGTCATGTAGGACTACCAGTAATATATTACTTTGATCTTCTCTCATCTGGCTGGCTCCCTGGTACCCCGGGGACCAGGGTACCAGGTCTCCCTTCTCCCCCCAGTTCTAAACAGTTCCACAACTCCATAAATTACTGTACAACAATCTATGCTATGCTATCCAGTCACTGTCAGCTCAACATTCAGCAAATCCTCATCTCTGCCATCCTCCAAAATCTCTTCTTCAGATTGGGTTGTTCCTTCTGGTTTGGCATCAGCATCACTTCCTGGCATAGCATTGGCTGCCCCAATGCTATGCCAGCAACCAACTCCCACGTTTGCTGGTTCACAATATGGTTTCCCAGCCATGATGTCAACATACTCATTGGCAAGCATGGCTTCACACATTGCATTTGCTTGGATGACCTCCTGCAGTGCACCATCATCTGCTGCCAAGTGGTGCAGCATGAGGGAATAGACTTCCCAGAAGCTTGCACAATTCACCTCAGGGTGACAAAGCACTGGCCCAGCTATGTCAGCATGCCTTCTGACCAGGAAACTGTGTCACATACCAATATATGCATGCTGGGCATGCTCTGCAAATGTCTGTGGCACCAGCTGGAACACCTCATGCCCTGCAGGAGCATAGAGATGTCCAGCTATCTCGAGATGCTCTTGCAAAATGCCAATCTGCATCACCATTGTCAGCCCAGATCTTGCCAAGTCTGCCAGCCCATGCAACTGGCCTTGTAGTCATGGTATGGACCATATGCTGCTGGATTCTCCAGCAGCATAGCTGGGATTTCTGCAGGCATGGCCTTCTTATTGTCTTTGCATGGCTTGCTGGAGTTGTGAATGTGCCCAAAGTGATCAAGATTGGCTTGGATCATGGGGACCATGAGCCAGTGAAAGACCAAACTGGCAATTCATCAATACTGGGACATGAGGCTGGTACAGTGCTATGCACTGTTCCAGCTCATCGTTACTGTGGTACCATCCTTCATCCAGCCCCTCCTGGAACATTGCCTCCCACCCCTCTGCCCACTGGTGCCACAGCTTCAACCAAAAGATTTCTGGCTTGATATTTGAATGACTGCACATCCATTGATGCTGGAGCATGCCATGCAGGTCTGGGTCCAGCATCTGGTGCAGGGTAGTCTGGGCATTTGCCATGCCATGATTCTCAGAGCCAGGATCACTCTGGGTGAGCAGCAGGATTCCTGATCCCAGTCAGCCAAGGAACTGGGACTGCAGGGCAAAGCACTCACCTTGGAACCTGGATGCTGCCTCCAGATAAAAACTGGCAATGAGCCATGGGTTGGAGTTTGTCCACCAGACCTTCAGCCAGAGGATGTAATTTGAAAAGTTATCCAACCCAACATGCAAGAACAGTCTGAACCATTGCCATTTGTCATGCTGGTCTGCTGACCAGCACTCATGCACCCCAGCACTCCAATGGACAGCTCGCCTCAGGTGCTTGGCTCATCAGAGCATATTCCCAGTCAGATCTGCCTGCTGCTGTTACTCTTGTACCAGCTGCCTGTGGCTCTGTTATCAGCACACATCCAGGCCCTGCAGCATCTGGGCTCACTGAGAGACCAGGATCTGCTCATCTCGAAGGTGATCTTGAATTGATTTTGATCCCAGCTGATTTGCAGAATGCTGGCCAATTTTCTCAATGTACAGTCCAATTGTCACAACAGTGTGCACTTGCTGCCTCACTGACAACAGACTCCACTTCCTGTGGCATCTTTGCAGTGTTTTTGTGCTATGGAGCTGGATCAGCACATGATCCAGTACTGGCTGCTGAGGGCATGCTTACAACAGTGTCCAGTTGTTTGACTGGAGGTCAAGCAACTCCAAAATGACTGCCAGCATCTTCTTGTCACCATACCTGTACTGGTAGTACTTCTCCACCAGTGGATGAAGTACACTATCTGGCACTATCAAACATGGCTGGGAATCAGCAATGTGTGTCTGTACATGACTCGACCACAAAGACCCACCTGTCTGCACATACTGGTTTGGCCGTGGCTCTCCTGGCATAGGCTCATACACCTGCAGTGCCCTGGGTTACTGGATGGCTGGTACGTGAAGAGATAATGTGTTCTTGACTGACCCCAGCACAGTGGATGCACACAGATATGGGCACATCCACTGCGCTGGGTCAGTGCAGCAACACATTACCAAACAAAGCTCAGGGACACCCAGAAAGTGCATCTGGCTTCCTGAACCAATTCCCCAGCAATGCATGGCATGGAAGTGGCTGGTGCATTCTCAACCTGTCCATTCCACGCTGGCTTGGGTGGATGTTTTCAGACACCAGGAGAGGGTTGCTGACCAGACAAGGCTGGTCAGTAACCCGCAACTAAATTTCCTCAGGAGCAAACTTGTTTTTTCACCCCATTGTCTACTGCATTTCACACCACTCTCCCAGGTTGTACTGTCTCTTTTGCCTTCATATGGATCTGTTGCCCTTGGTCACTGAGTGGGAAGGGGGATGTTGCAGCCATCCCAGCTGCAACATCACTATCCCCCCCAAAGGTCCCTGGCAGATGATCATGCCCAGGGATAGCAATGGCAAGATGCTCCCAGCCCAAATCGTCTGCCCCTCTTGTTTTGACCACTATGCAGCCAAGGCAGGCACAGTGTGCTGGCCTGCTGCTGGTGCTGCTGGTGCTGCTGCTGCTGCTGCTGCTGCTGCTGCTGCTGCTGGTGCTGCTGGTGCTGCTGGTGCTGCCCAACCCCCTGGGCCAGCAATGAACATGATCTCCCTGGAGGTTGTACAGGAAATCTGCCATCAAATGTCTGGTGCCCAGTGGAATATCTATCAGGGTGCATCACTCCTTTGCCAGCTGGTACCATTTCAAAACTGATTGATCCCAGGAGGCAAGTCACCTGTGCAGGCTGTTAGTCCACACTTCAACCACCCCTTTGCTGGTGCATTTGGAAGTGCAGATACAGTGCCTGTACCTGCATATGCTGGTCATGTACCAGTGTTCACTGGTCAAGCACCTGCATATGCTGGTCCTGTCCCAGCATTTGCTGGTCACATACCAGTGTATCATGCTGCAAACCAGTTCCCAGGGCTTGCTGCTGGGCCAGGTTTTGCTTTGAACACCAGTACCACCCACTGGGCTATAATGCCAATCATGCCATGTACTCCTAGCAGTGCCAGCTTGTCAAGATGGCTGTCAATGTGCCTCATGCAGAGATGATGCAAGTGGATGTGTCCATCCAGCATCTGGTTGAAGGGAAGAGCAAGTCAAGGCAGCTGGGGGTGAGTGCCAGGTTTGCTGGATGCCAGCAAACCAGACTACTAATTGCAAGTCCAGAATACATCAGAGCACCTGAATAACATCCCAGCAACTCTACTGGCTTCTGAACTGAAGCAGTATATATTCACCCAACTGCATTGGAAGATACAGTGGGATGGACATGAGTTTCCTTTCCAGCTGGATTTCTTCAAGCTGTGTGGACCCAGGTTGGCCAATTTGGAGAAGAATCTGACTGTCCCAGCAGTATACCAGCAATGCTTCAAGCCACATGTGAAGAATGGTGTGACAATGCTCATTTTCCAGCCCAACCATCTGGTTGAAATCTTCCTCCTGATCAAGAAGGAGGTCTGGCCAGCTGTAAGTCTGTGGATAGAGGAAGCAATTCATTGTGTACCAGCACTACATGTTACTGGGACTGATCCAGGGCATTGTTAGACCGAGGGCATGCCTCATTCTAAAGTTGTCATTGCTGGGCTATGTCTGAACCCAGGGGTTGCTACTGGAGCCAATGCTGCTCATTCTGGAGCTGCATCAGCTCCAGGACCAGCAGCATCCAGCCAAACCAAGGTAAGGAATATGAATGTGAGATGCTGGTATTCCAATCTAAATTTTTGTTAGCATCCCCTTGCAAATGCAATTCCCCCTCATCCCACCAAGTGGGTTGCAAGGCAAGAAGAGGATAGCCCAGACAGCACAGCAATCAGCCATGCCTTGCAACACTCTGATCACTGCAAGGTATCCAAAGTGAATTGTGCATCAACAAGTAGTGCTGGTCTGATTTTCATTGCTGACTGCATGCCAGCAATGAAAATTATGGCACACAGCCTGTTCTTGCCGATCCCAGTCATAACCTGGCAGGAATTGATCACCAGCAGGTTTTTGATGCAGATCAACTATGAAGCTGATGGTTGTCTGGCAGTCCTGCAAGTGGATGAACAGGCCAAGAACATGCTTGGCCAGCCCAGCACCTTCAAGATGGCACACCTCACACACCTCACTCTGGGTGAGTTCCCTGTGACATGGAAAGGGGCATTGCCCAGCCCTTTCTGGTGGGACATCCCACAGATGTCACTGCTAAACAGTACTTTGTGTGGAGCAAGCCTGGTGGACCCTGTCATTGTGTTGACATCCCAGCAGAATCGACATTCCTGGAGCAAGAAGCAAGCCTTCTGTACTGGGCCACTGCGCTGCATGAGCTGGCCAAGTCATTCATCCAGCAGTATCTGGAGATGAACCTGAACTAGCCAGCCAGCCAGCTGGAGCATCCAGAGACCTGCATGGTGCAGGGTGGTCTCTTCCAGTATGGGAAAGACAGTCCTTCACAGTGTGGAGGACTGGTGACTCTGATTGAGGAGAAGGTGATTGGCCAGCTGGTCCAAGAGGGGAAAACCTGGAAGAACTTCATGAAGTTCATCTGTAACTCTTCCCCAGTCCTGAGGTTTGTCAAAGGCCCTGCTGGACTGGTTGCACAGTATCTTTCCTTTTTCCAGCATATTCAGTACCAGAAGACCTTTGGCATGGCATTCATTTCAGACTACCAGGGTATGTACATAGTTTGCTTCTGGATGCTGGTTGATGCTAACCAGAAACCAGGCTCACTGACAATGCTGAGCAACCCCCAGATTATGACGAACTTGTGAGTACATCTACTGGCACACACCAGACTCGCTGATACTGGTATCCAGCCAGATGGGTGCTGTCTTCAGCAAGGGCAACCTGAACACAAGTTTTGATGATTTCCCTATCCTCCACCAGTGCAATGAATACTGTCTTGCATTCAAGCTGAACAACCTGCAAGAAGCTGAGGCCAGCCCTGGCCCAGTAGTAGCACCAAGTGAACGTTCAGAGAGCCTCCTGGATGTGGAGGACATTGTTCAGGGTGTGCTTGCTGCTGCTGAAGCAGCAAAGGAGAATGTGGTCACCAAAGGAGAGCAGCAAGCTGGAATCCAGGTGCCAGTGAACTTGATGGCTGGCCCTGCTGGCAGTGAACCTCTGGTACATGGACTACCAGGAGAACATCACAGTGAACATTTGGAATTGAAGAAGGTGCTTAGAGGAGCTGCTGGCAACTTGCCAGCAGCATGAGGTAGTGAGTGGTATGAATATCTCAATAATATTAGTGTAGATGCCCAACTCCTGTCAGTCTTTACTAGAGTAGTACTTGCTGAATTTTGATTTCATTCTTGACAAGAGCACTTGCCAAAAACGGCAGTTCATGCTGGACCTGCCGTTGGGGGAACAATGAGTGCTGGGTTCAAAAATTCAGACTCAGAAATAAATAAATAAATAATCTAATCAGTGCTCTAAAGCCCGACGTGGAGCACATGGTCGGTGTCCAACAAAGCTGTGGGTGGAAGCCGTTCTTGGACAGCTGGGACCCCTTATCAGCCGACCAACGTAACTGTCCACATACGTCCACCATAATACAGAGCGGTCAGGGCGTTTCGGTGAGACAGTCGGTACCGAAATAAACTCTGCGCGTGTGGTCAACAACCCGGATTATCTTTCGGAATAATCCACGGAGAGAACCGGTACCTGGCAAGATGGCCCGCCCGGGAATCTCTAAGCCTACGGCCGAACACCGTACGGACGCTAGAGAAGGACCGACGCCGGCGGGACGGCAGAACGTGAGAGCGGGGGCTTGCCACACGTCAGTTTAGGCGTGTAGGAGCGGAACGGGCCTGATTGACATCGAGAAAGCAAAGCTGAGACGGTTATTGGGTGGCTTCCCTCTTGTGGCAGTCGAACAACACCCTTTGACGGCGCGATCAAAATCCTAGATATTCTAGAAGTTGTAACCCTGCCGCGCCCGGATCTGGCACCACGGGAAACAGAGCGGTTCAGTGATCCAGTCCATCGGTCGAAAGTCAAGCATGTATGCCGAATCGGGCATAAGAGGACCGAAGTAGCCGAACTCGAAAAAGGCAGAGGCTTTTGACCCGTTGCGTGGGTCCGTACCGGTGCCGTCAACTCGGTCACAGGATAAGATCAGTAGAAAAAATCGAGGAGTGCATAGAACAGCTGCAAGATCTGCGCTGCGGCAATCAGCCAGCAAGACGCGCGTCTCGTATGGCCTTGACTCGATATTGAGCGCAGAAATATTTGCTTTGGAGGTCACCAGACTGTCGTGGAACAAGGAAGGGAATCCCGCGCGGCGATGGCGGTGCTGTCCACTGATTGTAAAAGGCATAGGATTGTTCATAACCCTAACCCCTGAGCGATTCGAAGCCGGCGCCAGAACCCGTGCGCTGTTCCATGTTCACTTCGCAGAGTATGAAAAGACCGCATACGAGGTCTTTATCGCTCGCTAGACAATAACAAACTTGGCGAGACTGTTCTTTCGGCAAACTATGCCAATTTCGACGCGTCTTTTGCTCTTCAGCTCGCTACTCGCTGCCCCAGGCGTGATACCACTGTATCTCTTGTATCGCACCACCACGCAACCAGGTTCCGCAATTCGGGGTGCTGTTGGAATACCACTTGCTTTAGAGGAATCCAAACTCGCGAAGCTCCTCAACCCACGGGGGAACCCTTGGTTAGGAGATACATGGACCTACAGCATAGCAAGGAGCGACATATCGGGACTATCTCAAGCCGCATCAGAGGCCCTGTCGGCAGAAGACGAAGAACGCGTCGTGCTCGCCCGTTTTGCTCGTGGATTTTTCACTCTAAAGGCTTTTGCTTTCGAGAAATGGGCAGTGAGCACGTTCCCGCAAGTTGTGAAAGAGTATGTGGGACTTGAGATTGGTGAGCAACGGTTCGTATATCAACAGGTGGTTCCTTAGACATTCCCGTTTCCAGTCGATCCAAACAACACTCTTCTAGACCCTTCATCAGGAAAGGAACGTTTGTCCGTCCTGCCTAGCCAGTGGCCTATCGACAACTACGCACCGAACGGCGCGGCGTTTCTCGATGCCTTCCAAATAGTCGACACAGGCCGAGACCGGATATACGCGGACTCCCAACTACCAAGATCGTACACCGCAGTCGCCTTCGGCTCGAACCGGCCTGCGGCGCGGTTTGTTGGAGTACACTTCTTCTGGGTCAACCGTCGCCAACCCCCGGCAGACGACAAAAAATCAGACGATGTTATCTTCGATCTGAACATTTGGAGCCTGAACTGCGATCCCTCTGATCATGGTCAGGAGGGAAGCCGACCTAGATGGCTGTGGAAATGGGTTTTACCCCAGTTGCACTATCTCTACGAGAGAGCACTGATGGCCGATGGTATCGATGCTGTGCGAAGTGGATAAGAGGGACTTGGATTCGGAACGCATAGAAATGTATCGCTAGAATTAGCATATTCCCCACTCGTAAACGCACTGCTCGAACCACGCCTACTAGATTATTGTCGTCATAATGTGATAATGTAATGTAATCTGACCCTCCAAGACTCTTCAAGACTGAAGAGACGCTGTATGGGTCCATCACTCAAGAGTTGCTCGTACGACAACGAGGGAGACACGCATATGGGAGAGTGTCCCTCAAGATTCTGTTCATCGGCTCACACCGTACATGAATATTCCGGAAAATACCAGTTAAACCACATCGACCCGACCACTCAATACACTAAGCGAGGCAAAGAGATCTGGCTAGCAGTTCACACAGCGGCTTTCTCCATGTGCCTCAGCTTCAGCGTTCGTCTCCTCTCTTTGGCAACTCTCTGCAACTCGAGCGATGTCAGCCTCGGGTTGTCGGAGGCGAACACTTGATCCATCTCTTCGAGTGTGAGCTGCTTGGGTTCCACGAAGTAGTACCAAACGACGCCCAGCAAACAGAAGTCAAACACGCCGAATATGATGTATGCTTCAAACGAGGATCAACAATCAGATTACGTGAGGGATAATCGATGACTTACTCTTCCACTGGATGTTGGCTAAAGCAACGGGCATTGCAAATGTATTCACACTTCCCATTTCTCAGCACTCGCACACCGAGTCCGGCTGATACTCACCAGTTGGTTCCCTGTGAGATAAGCGTATACCAAGCAAGGCCTTTTGCACGTCCTTCGTAGCTCATTACCTCCACAGGATAGAGAGCCTGCATCGGCGTCCAGCCATAGCTGAAGAACACCATAAATAAGAAGATGAACGATATACCCGCGTTGGCCTGGGCAACATTGGTCCCTGCGGTCGACAGAAGGCCGGCAATGATTACCCTGGCATTTCGCTCAGCGGGGTATCAAGCCATACGAGGAAAAACTTGCCTGCCAGTGCCACAGGCGAAGATGGCGGTTAGGACGATCGTTCGTCTCCCGACATAGTCGACTGATGCCGTCCCTAGCAGAGCACCAATGAACGAAGTAACGCTATTGACGAAGTTGAGCACCCGCTGACGGTCCGGATCCCTAATGCCACCTAAATCAGCTCCGGCGAGGATAGGACAGATTGGGCATACGTGATCCCCGCCTGGTTAAGCAAGATCGTCAGGTAGTTCGTTAGCAGCCCGTTGCCAGCCCAGCTACTGCCAGCCGCAACTAGCGTGACCAGCCAGATTCGATACCTATCGGCGCGGGTCTTGAACAGCGGGCGGAAGTCCCACCACCGCCTGTCGCTCCCATCTGGAGAGATGGACTCCTCGATCTCTGCTAGTTGGAGCTGGATCATTGGGGAGTTGATGTCGTTGTTCTTTGAATGATACTTTGCGAGGATTTGCGTTGCTTGCTGGGTCTTGCCGTTGGTGTAGAGCCAGCGAGGGGATTCCGGAAGTCCGAGCTGGGTATATGAGGTGAGGCCAGGAAGGAGCAGACGAGAAGCTCACGACTAGGACAACGTTGATGACTGCCGGTAGTCCCTGAACATAAATCGGCGCCCTCCATGGCATGTTATCACTGTACCTCCCAGTGGGGATCGCGATACCGCTAGCGATGATTTGTCCAACATAGAAGAAGGAATTCAGGAGGCCGACATAGCGGCCCCTCGTTGCGGGCGAAGTGATCTCAGCGAGGTAGGAACGGGCGGATACGCCAGCTGTGGAGGTTCCTAGACCTATAGGAAACGGTGAGCACAGGATATTAGATGTGGTGGAGACAGACCAGTGAGAAAACGGCCTGCTATGAACATTGGCATCGCGTTCACGTTAGCTGTGACCACTGAGCCTGTGCTGCAGCACCCAGAACAATGTCAGAAACGTCGACGCCCGTCAAGTTCACTTACACAAGACACAAATTCCCCAACAACATCCCCCACCGCCTACCAAACCAATCCGGCAACGTCGCACACGTTAAAAAACTGGCGATCTGTCCAATAGTATAGATGCCAAAGACGATCCCCGTCTTCGAGCTCGCCGCTTGCAAGTTGAAGTACTGCTGGTACTGTACCATCGAGCTGATCGCGCTCATCACTGTGCCGTCGTACCCAGCATCGCCGGAACAGCAGAGTACGACAGCGACGATGTAAGCGAATTGGAGGGCGCGGGGGGAGAAGAAAGGGATGCCGGGGTCGGCATCGAACGCTTCACGGAGGGTTTCCTGCTTCTGCTTGACTACATCTGTAGCACCGTTGTAGTCGATTTTGGCGAGGTCGCTGGTGTTGTCCAGCTTGCTGGAATCGACGTGTACTTCGGTCGGAGAGAGTGCCATACTCAGATCCAACCTTGGTCCAACGTAACACAGAAAAGAGCGAAAACTTATACAACGCAGTACGATTGGGATGGATATAGGCTTCGGATTCTTGATTTCTGCAAGCTGTCACGCGCAGCGTCCAATTCAGGCATGATGGCTGATGTTGAGAGACGTCCTCCACCTCAGTGCGATAGTTCGTCTTCCCACAGAAGCACAGGACCAATGTTGGGCATCCCCTCCATACGCAGGGATAGACGGAGACCGGACGTTCGGAACACTCTGCTTCGGAGGCATGACTGGATGCACCAAGAGAACGTCTGTAGCACGGCCCGATGCAAGCTGTTCCTGATAGGCAGACCTTGTGACATCCTCCGAGTTAGTGTACTCTACACCTCCCAATGAGGCGTCAGGAGAGGGTCCGCTGGAGGGGGAGTCGACAGTGGTAGCCCGTACTTCGTACTAGACAGAGCTAGATGATACCAGGCCGAATCGAATGTTGCCTCCTAAGGTAGAACCGCTCGAATGCCAATATGGGGGGTACTATGTGTGTTCCGAAGCTCGTCGCTGCAATCCGAAGGGAGTCCGAACGGGAGAGAGGAGAGGAACGAGTGTTGTTTCCGAAGGTTGAGGGGTCGAATCGAGGCTCGGAGCAGTCCTAGAGGGAGATAGACTAAAGAGTGACTGTATAGTAAAGCAGTAGTATTAGTTGTAAGTTAAAGAATCACCCGTCTTGAACGAGTGAGGTCGAGTGTAAGTGGGAGAGAGGAGTCCGAGCGTCCCTATACGAGGTATCCGAATCCTCCTATATACGTTCGGAGCGATTCGGACCTTCGGGCTACTACTAATCTATGTCTAATCTACATTACCTAATGCTATGTATAGGGTCCACTTCTTGCTCCAATAGTCCGGTCCGGCCGAGTTCGAGATGTCGTTCGAAGAGGTGTTCGAAGGTCGGATTCGAGCTCGAAACTCGAATGTGCAGCACATTAGGCAACACAGTCTTCCTCGATAAGCCAAGGGCCGATGTACCCAACCTCCGCAGTGTCGCCAAACAAAGCGAAATCGGACGGTCGGGAAGCTACTTGTGAGGTGTGATTGGCGGCTCGGCACTGCAAGAGGAGGTGGTCCGGAGCTTTGACCAGTAGGTCAGAGGTTCTTCACAGCCATGCCTTCTGACATACCCCATATTGGGAATTGTGGGGGAAAGAAGCCTCCACTCCAAAAGAACATAGATGCGAAGCTTATTATCATGGGATTGCGCATCGTTAAAGCGTGGAGTCATCTGGTGTCAAGAGAGCGGAGGGGTTCCTCCACTAGACGAATGCATGAGACCGACGCAGGATGTGTGAACTTCAGGGTGCTGAACTCGACCTGGGTCAAAAAGTATTTGGGTCATGCAACTCGGTGGGACATTGACCAGGACGTCGCCGGTTTCATTCTTGGCTAGGATTCAGCGTTCAAAGTAAGCTAGGTCGTTCCGCTTTCCACACACTATTAGCTTTCCATAGCTGGCAGATCTCAGAAACTACATCTATCTAGAAGAGTTGCCATTTAAGCTTTAGTTATGCGTATGGGTCCGAGCTTCCGAGTCTCTGCGAGACCCTGAAATTTGGCTCCGGCCGACCGTCCCCGATGCTTTAAAAACGGTCGGAGCTGCACCACGACCAACATATGCATGTAACCTTCAACACCCCGGACTGCTTGCAGGGACTCCAACCTCCCTCTGAACCCATTCCTGCCGAGAATATACGTCTTCTGGTTTACTATGATCCCACTAGAGAAACGAATGACAAAACACGTGGGAAAGAGTGGTGGTATCTCGACATTCCCATCTCCTGGTTGACCTCTAAAACCGCGAAACCCAAAAAATCTTGCGCTGCGTGGCCGTCTACCTCGTTGGCACCGTACATGCGAATATCGTCGAACATTCTACTGGCAAGCGCGGCTCGCGAAATGTCCGCAGCGGTCAATTATGGCGCGTTGTCGACCTCAACCCCAACCAGGCGGGACGGATCTGGCCGCCTGAGGACATCAATGGGCGTCTTGTGCTGAATTTGGATGTCATCCGTGAACGTCCCTCGCAGAGTAGCCATCTGAGCACGCGCGACAAAAGATTCACGGACGCTGTTGGCCAACGCGATAAGGTCTGTATCTTGTCTGGCAGGCATGGTAACTTTTGTGAGGCGCAGCATCTCGTCCACCGGCATATTGGGAACCAGGTTAGTCTCTCCGTCTTGACCCATCATCGGCATAGTCTAACTCTCTTGTAAAGGGAATGGCAGACATCTTGTCACGGAACTCACCACAGCCCCTCGATTCGAATTTCGAACCGATCCGCGAAGTAGATGATCCACGAAATGGGGTTTTCATGGACAGGGGGCTCCACAGCCGGTACGATGCGGGTGCGCTGGCCATCATGATCGTACGTACCTGATAGCACTGCTAACCGATGCCATCTAATGTACCATATTCAGACTCCAAATTGCGTCCTCGACACCAGTGACATCGTCGCTCCGGCGCCTAGAATTTTGGAGCCAGGCACGGCCTGTCCCGCGCACGTGCGCTACACTGCCCAATGGTTCGATATGGCGTCATTCGACGAGGATGTTGTCGACGGCGTCCCTGAGAACACCGATGCTGCTTTGGGGCTGAGTTTGTTGAAGAGTTGGATCGCATGGCAATCACTGGACCGTGCACCGTCACGGGTGACGATGAAGACAATCCGGACGAAGTCCTCGAAGTTCCGGGGAGTGTACAACCGGCACCTGTGACTCCCTCTTCTCCCCCCTCTAAATCCATCGAATCGGATACCTCCCCCACTTCGCTCAACCCTTATGGCGAGCTCAGCAGCGATTTTACGGATGACGAAAGTGATAATGAAGACAGCCCTATCGATCCTCTAATCCCGCCATCCGCACACGTGCTGATGTATCATTGGATTTGCGCCTTCATC